ACATTTTTAGTGTGCAGTACCTAAAGTATTTGTATTTGAGACAAAACCAGGTTCCTTAATGACAGTGCATGTATTTTAAACCTCCTGTTTTCTAATGTAAATAGGGCTTAAGATAAGTACGGGTAGACAGCCAGGCTAGCCGTACTTAAGGACGGCTAGACTGTCAGTCTAGCCGTACTTAATATTGATGGCTGAATTGTAAATGAAAATTTTAGTTTGCAATGCCTAAAGTATTTGTATTTCAGACAAAACCAAAAGGTGCCTTACTGACTTGCATGTATTTGAACCTGAATAATTACTAGATCTAGATCTAATGAGACCTGTGTACTTAACAGGATTGAGTCGATTGGGCCAAACCTAGATCTAAGTACGGCTAGACTGGCAGTCTAGCCGTACTTAAGTACGGCTAGCCACTTCGAAAAAATATCAGAAAAGGCCAAAACTCGGGAAAAAGAAGAGCGAAACAGTTACTAGATTTGGCTATCTGGCTTTGCCACGGTCCTGACTGCTGAGCGTATAGATAAGTTGAAATTGGCTACACGTAGTGTTGAGTGCTCACACAGAACTGGCACATAAACTACTGTATGTGTGAGTGTGTGTGTGGGGGGGGGGGGGGTAAATGTATAACCAGGCGCAATAGAACCAAAAAAGGGAAGCCAGAAGGTAAAAGTATCATCACATCATTATTTTACTACAGAAACGAATACTGAGACTTGAATACAGATGGTTGATTTTTTGGATAAAACATTAATATAAAATCATCATTAACAACATCATCATCAGCAATATCAACATGACAATGACAATGACAATGACAATGACAATGACAATGACAATGACAATGACAATCTTTATTCATCTCGAAGGAAGAAATTTGTCTTGGTCGTTAACAATGGCAGTAGACGTTATTAAAGTTAGACTTAAAGGTGCACTCACGCAAACGCACAAAAAGACAGGACATTAGGCCAAGTAAATACATGTCTCATGGGCTGGGACAACCCGCTCCGTAAAACATTCATTCTCTCTCTCTCTCTCTCTCTCTCTCTCTCTCTCTCTCTCTCTCTCTCTCTCACTGTTCCATTTGTAGCACTGTGTGTTCAGTAACCTCACTGCAGTTGGTACGAATGAATTTCTATATCTGTCTGTTCTTGCTTTTTTGGAAATGTATCGTTTACTGCGAGTCGATAGTTGAAATTCCGATGTCAGTGGGTGGCTATGGTCACTAAGCCCACACGGGCACACATCATCATCAGCAGAAGCAGCATCATCATTGTTAAGAGCAAGAATTAAAAAAAAACAACCAAAAGTTGATGGAGGAATGAGTACTTCTGAATTACAGTCTTATAACCTTATAACAAATGTCAAAAGCAACAACTCATCTCAGTCCTTATTGATTCCATCCCTCTTCATAATCAAGAGCCAGATCTGCTACAGACATCGGGGATCTAGATTCATCAATCATTCCTTTGTTCGATTGCTCTGAAAAAGTCTATACATGTATTTTCCTTATCTTTCCTCATCACCAGAGTTAGTTGCTCAGGGTTTACCCCTGCCTTGTTTGCCTTCAATTTCACCAGTCAGGGCTAGATGTTTTTGTTTTAGTAAGATTTTACGGCACTCGCAACTGCATAAGATCAGATGAGTACCAAGCTGTGGATGCTAACAAAGTAGTCTAAACGAGGAATCAGGCTCACTTCTCTGGCTTAAACAGCACGCACAAAGTCTTCTTCGACTATCAACGCACCCCGAAAAAGTAATTCACAAGAGAGTGACAAACATACAAAAGAAAAAGGGTAAAAATAACAATAGTAAGGATGGGGAAAGAAAAAGCATCATGTTGTTCTGGCACAGTATAAGCATGACATTCAGAGCTAGATGTTTGAGGCCCGTATATCTGTTCAAGTATCCCAGAATCTGCCGTTGTATCTAACTAATTGTTTTTAACAGAAAGGGCTCCGTGCAGGCTTCATTAAAGATACTAGGACACACCACAGCATGACCAACAGAAGGACAGTGAAACATCCACTCAAACATTCCCTAGAATTCAGTGTTGATGACAATATTGAAGAGTGTTTCTGCAATAATTTCTATTTTGAACTAAACGGGAAATTCATAGCTTAAATATATATATGTAATTTGAAAGATAACAACAAAATTGAACATCTTTAGAGCTTCCTAATTTATAAAAATTATTGCGAATTCGTTGAATCTCAAAAGACTGTACTATTCAAATCTGCAATCGTTTAAATATAATTTTACATAACAGTAAATATTTTCATGGTTTAGGTTATTGTAAACAAACTTTACAGTACGCTACCCTAAATTTAAAAAGTGTATCTGCTCAGTACCTAGTTTTGAGAAATTTGACTTTAAAAAATCTCAAGCTTTTTCGAAAGCAATTCTATGAATAATATTTATCTTAATAACTGCCCTCCGAACAATTTTAGCTTTTGATAGAGCAGACAGAACATGTATTAGTTTCCGGCCTCATAGTTTTAGTAACTCAAAATGGCTGAAATGTCATAATATAGAACTTTGTTATTGTAAGGTATCTAGTTATAGATATGATTTATGTACACATCATTAATTGGCAGTTCTCTTCTATTAACTAAACGTATAACTACACTATCAACTTCAAAAATTTATTACCTCCCAAACTTTGAAGCTGAAAGTGTAGCAGCTTTTAAACAAATGTTTTACGATCAAAACAGCCGAGAAATTCGAAGTTTCAGCTCAGAAAAGTCAATGTTTAAAAAAGTATCTTTGACAAAAATCATGAATTTCGCTCTCACCTGTCCAGAGCTATTCGCGATTCCCTCGTCCACGTGTATATTATATAGATTATCTTTTAATCATTTAAACCCATATTTAATAAATCAATCGGGAAGGTAAGATAATGTTGTACAACGTGGCAACATCTTAATTTTCAAATTTGAAATAAAACGTTAAAACGGCATGGTTAAGTTTTCTCTTTCCAAGCGTTTTCCAAGCTCCAGTGCAGGGGGTTTTGTCTACCTACAAAAATGCATTTGATTTCATACATATATGGGATATAGTGGTGAAATCAGGCGCTCATCAAAATAATGAAATGGAAGAAACCAGCCATTTTCAGCCAGTTTGTAAATTTTTATTGATTTTTTTTTTTGGGCTCACTGTTTTATACTATAGGTAAAAACACATTTCATGTTTGGAGCTTTACAGAAAAACTTTGATTAAAGGCACAACAATTGCAAATTATCTATTTCCAAGGACTCTCAAGCTATGGAAGTTACAAAACTTTGACGGCCATTGTCTTGCTAATTTGACCTCTGTAACCAGTCGACCTCCACTTCCTTCAATCTCAAATATCTCGACTTCTATTCAAGACAGATGGGTGTTTCTTTCAACAGAAGCAATAGAAATGAAAAAGTTTTAAAGCTGATATCAAAAACTCCATATCCCCAAATATTGACGTGCGCCTGGCTCCTGCGTGTCGAAACACATACGTAAAAGTACATGAGCAATGCATGATATCAGATATAGACACTCCACACACCATTTTGGGTCTCCACTGTGCAGCGCCCTGTTTGTTTGGGGTTTTTTGTTTTGTTTCGAGCTTTTTGTTTTGTTTTGTTTGTTTTTTGTTTTTTGTTTTTAACAAGACGCACTGCAGTGACCACCCACGACCGTGTCACCGACAGACGCCTGACATCCTTCTGAGCGTGAGCCCACAGACAAATCGGCCAATGGAGACCACCACAATGTTGTTTTTTCTCAGCTTAAAGTACACACTGCTATAGGTCGTTCAGCCTCAGCTGCCCACACCTAAGAGCGGATCATCGCGAAGTCCTCTGTTTGATTGCTTTGAAATTGTCCATATAATGTTAGATTTTACTGGACGTTACAGATTCTAAATTTTGTGGTTGAGAAACCTTTACAAGTTAGGTTCCGACAGGGTTCCTTTGATGTTCGCCGAAACTATGTCAGATTTATAATAGAAGTTTTACAATAGAAGTAACATACAATGACACGGAGAAAATGTCTGGTTTCCGTTGCAACACACTAACGTTTTACAAAGCAGGGGCGGAACCCGTAGGAAATGTATGAATGACAAGAAAGTCACCAGGACCTATAGCTTTATATTCTTGCTTCTTTTCGTGTGAGAATCGCAAGCCAGTAGACTTGATTGGTGTCCCGTTTTCTATCATTCAACTATAGAAAGTACGATCAATTTCTGTATAACAGAATGGGCCGGGAACACATAACAACAAGTACTTTTTAAAAAAACCTAAACCGATTAATACGAAAATCATGCAAAATTTTAACATCTACATTCTCCTACATGGATAAATTGTACATTATAGCTTACTCTAGAAAATTTAATTCCATCTTTTTGGACTTAATAAACATTCCTTGTTCCCTCAAATAAAAATATCAATCAGAAGTAAAATACCTAGGCTTCCTATCTGTAACAAAGAAAGATACAGAAGGTCATTCTTACCATCACCCATCAAACCTCAACCATCTTAATCATAGCTTATTATAAGTATTATGACCTAATAAGAGCATGCATCTGAACACTATTGAGTTACAATCAGAATATTGTGTAAGTATCTAGCTAAACATTATTGTTGTTTATTACTGTTCAATTTTATTATGCATGTGGCTATAAGCCTGTTTGTGAGTGCAAGCATAAAGCGTGTGTTCATACTGGTGTGTGTGTGCGCGTGTGTGTGTGTGTGTGTGTGTGTGCATGTGTGTGTGTGTGCATGTGTGTGTGTGTGTGTGTGTGTGTGTGTGTGTGTGTGTGTGTGTGTGTGTGTGTGTTTAGTGAAACACCAAACCAATTTCCCAGCATCTGGACAATAAAGATGTATCTTATCTAATCTTATTTAATCCTATGTTGTTGCTGTCGCACCGTTCAAAAGAAAGCCTCCATGGTAAAACGCAATAAATCTATTAAATAAGAAAATTAGGGGGGAAACTACTTTCTGAACACAAAAGCAGGAACGAAACATATTGATAATTATTATACAAAATCTTTAAAGGGAACATTGAACTTTGAGAGACAGAGAGAATAATATATTTCTTACGTAAATTAAATAATATCATAAGATTTTGAAATGAACGGTGTCTTCCAGGAACGTCCACAGGTGGCGAATACAGTAAGGTTTGCAGTGGTGCTCCTTGTATTATGGACTGGGTCATTTCTTGTCATGTCTCTGCGGAGAGATATGAAAAAAAAACCATATCCTTTTAATGCAATTCATTATCGTTTTTGCTTGTCATAATTTCTAAAATGTTATAGCCACTGGCGTCTTTGGTCTAGCAGTTAGGTGCGTGGCTATCTCAAGCAGGAGACCCGAGTTCAATTTCCGAGTGAGAAGAAAAATTTTACCAGCATCTCGGTCTTTCAGCTGGAATGTTTCCTCTTTAACCAGGGTTGGTTGGTCATTACAGGCAGCAGTCAAAAAGCTTGCCTTCTAAATTATAATTCAAATTGTGTTGATGGGAGAGTAGACAACATCTACAATGGAGAATTTAATCGATTGATCTCTTCTCCCATCATAATGTATTCAACGTTATACAACGTTTCTGAAGACAGATAATCTTACTTATCCGGCGGTCCCGACTTCCCCCCCTTCCCTCCCTCTCTCTCTCTCTCTCTCTCTCTCTCTCTCTCTCTCTCTCTCTCTCTCTCTCTCTCTCTCTCTCTCTGCCTCTCTCTGTCTCTCTTTCTCTCTCTATCTATCTATCTAATTATTTATCTATCTATCTATCTATCTATCTATCTGTCATTCTATCTATCTATCTATCTATCTATCTATCTATCTATCTATCTATCTATCTATCTATCTATCTATCTATCTATCTATCTATCTATCTATCTATCTATCTATCTATCTCCATCTCTATCTCTGTCTCTTTCTTATATACAAATCCAGTAACTCTCTCTCTCACACACACACACACACACACACACACACACACACACACACACGCGCGCGCGCACACATACACACACACACACACTCGTTCTCTCTCTCTCTCTCTCTCTCTGCCTCTCTCTGTCTCTTTTTCTCTCTCTATCTATCTATCTATCTATCTATCTATCTATCTATCTATCTATCTATCTATCTATCTATCTATCTATCTATCTATCCTTTTCAGGAACACTTTGTCTCCCCCCCCCCCCTAACCAGATCCCGTTCCCAGAACCAACCTGCACGTTCACATAGTTTCCCTTTACTGGGGCATTGTTCCTGGGCGAGGAGTAGTGACCATCCACGTCTTCATCTGGAGAGACAAAACAGCCCACAAGATCCACAACTCTCCTAGTGTTTGTCAGTTTCATACGATTATGTCAGTCTCTGGGCTGTTCGACTGGGAATTCTTCGACCCAAATTACAATAGCTTTTTATACAAAAAAATATTGTTTTATTATGTCTGATCTGTACGTTCCTCTTTGCGATATAAAAATACTTATTATATTTCAGCATTCAAGCATGACTATATAATAGTAAATGAAGATATCAAAATAACATAAAATTGATCGAAAACCAATGTCGAACTTTATCACTTTATTATAAGGCGCTTTTTTTTAAATTAAGGAAATAACATGTACATAAACTGCAATAACCACGGTGAAGGTTTGTGAATATCAGAACCAAATAGATGTAGAGGTTTAATTTGTTAGAAAATGGTTTTGTTGACACAAACCAGTAAGCAGCGAGTAATAATAATAATAACAATAATCATAATAATAATAATAATAATAATAGTAATAAATAGAATTTCTATAGCGCATAAACCCGCTATACAGCAAGCTCTATGCGCTTTAAACTATAATATTTTTATACCAGCAGATCATAGAAGACAAAAAAAATTATCTTCTTCCTGGGAAGCAAACAGTGCAAGCAGCCAATTAAGCGCTCAAACACTACCAAACTGACAAGATCTTTCATTATCTATAGCTAGGTACCCATTCGCACTTCAGTGAAGTGAGAAAGATTCGTATAAAATGCCTTTCCGAAGGACACAACATCGGGTCCCTGACGGGATTCGAACCCACGACCTTACGGTTGCAAGTCTGAGAGCCTAACCATTTGGCCACCGACACCTAATTGATATGTGTACTCAGAGGGAAAAAGACAGAGGGAAAGAGAGAGGGAAAGAGGTAGACAGACGGACAGACAGAGAGAGAGAGAGCTACAGAGCGAGGGGGGGAGGGGCAGGGACAACATAAATATAGAATAACAGCTAGTGGCAATCTTTCTCACCTTCCCCTATAATAAAAAATCAGAGAGGAAAACAAAATCAAAATATGTACTCACCAATGTCTACATTAAAATATTCCGCTTTAGGTTGAAAGCCCATATACTGATCTGGAAAAAAAAAAGAAGAAAGAAACATTTTTTTAAAAATAAATAATTAAACAAAAACTCTGAATTTCCCTCTAATTTCTAAAGACAATGCCATAAAAGTAAACCTGAGAAATTGATGTCATTGGGACTACAGCATTCTGTTCCTGTCCATATAACATGGCACACAACAACGAGTCAGACCAACATCTGTGTGTGTGTGTGTGTGTGTGTGTGTGTGTGTGTGTGTGTGTGTGTGCGTGTGCGCGCGTTTTGTGTTGGTTTTTTTTGTCTGCCCTGTTCGTCATTCCTTACACCATCTCTGCTTACACCAAGAACATTTTCTGTTCCTACAGGCCTATCCTTCATAAGCTTTTAACGTTATTTTTCATTATAGTTGTTCTGTTCCTATGTCTGGATGAAAATAGTCTGTGTGTGTATATGTTTGTGTGTGTGTGTGTGTGTGTGTGTGTGTGTGTGTGTGTGTGTGTGTGTGTGAGTGTGTGTGCATTAATGTATACTGCATGAGAAGACAGGAAGTAGTAAGAAAGATTTTTTGAAAAATGGATATTCCAAGGTAAAGCGCATTGAGCTTTCTTGGAAATGCGCTATATAAATGTTATTTATTATTATTATTATTATTAAGCTGGTCTCCGCTATCTCTGACTGATGTGGCGCCAGACCTTAGATAATGTGGCATACACTGATATAAAATTACATGAAATGTAAATTTAGATTTTTACATTCTCACTTACACAATCTTCTAGATCAGTTATGAGGCGGGATTCGTCGACCGTCCCTGTCTCTCGGGGCCAATACGAGATGAGAGGAGCACAATTTCTAAGTAGACAGACGGACATTCTTGATGGAGAACAACTTTTAAAAATCTACACTCAGGAGTCCAACAGCTCACACCTTGTTCGTGCTAGGGTGGAACGCCTAGCCGCTACACCAGCGACGCGGATGGTCTTCACTGATACTCTTCTTCCTTCTGGTACCCAGACATTCTTTACATATGTGTCACGACGTGGTGGAATCTAGCGCTCGCCAATTATTGGGCATATGGAGGTATTGGAGGTATCTTAAAGTTTGTTAATCTGTCTTGCTTTCATGAACAAATTATGCCAGTCTATCTTGTATAGTTGTCGACGAAGTTGCGACTGAAGGAGGTGGGGATCACATGGTGTCGAAGGTACAATTAGCGAGAAAAAGCCTGCCACAGATTGGTGATTTCCAAAGCGCAAGTGTCCTTGGAAACTGCATTTGTGTCTCAACACAGTGGAATCAGGCGCTCGTCAATTTTGGGGCATATGGGGTTATTGGTATCACCTTAAAGCCTGTTCATTTGCCTTCTTTTTGGTGGGAAAAAAACATCGATCTATGTAGGATAGAAGTTAAAATATTTGCAAAGGAGGTCAGGGTTGCCTAGTTTCAGAAGCAAAAGTAGCCAGAAAATGGCCACCAAAATTGAGTAACTTCCATAGCCTGAGAGTTCCTGGAAACTGGCAATTTACTTTTTTGTGTATTTAATCACTGTTTTTATTAAAATTTCACACAAAAATGTGTTTTATATAAACAGAAAAAGCGCTGAACCAAAAAAAGAAAATTAGAAAAAAAGTTCCCCATCGGCCAAAATATTGCCGATTTCTTTGATTTTGTTATTTTGACGAGCGCCTGATATCACCACGATGTCTCACATATTTTATTTCTGGTTCCTTTGATAAGCCTCTTTTTCAGAAAAATCCACACACAAATTGAAGGTATTTTCGAATGGCCTTAAAAGTTGTTGGGCCAAATATAAATCAATTTTAAAAATTCAGTACACGACAAAAAAATGTCGGTTTCTTCAATTTCATTACGTTTTTTACAAGTCCCTGACTCTAAAATGATGCAATACATTTTGTCTTACTCCTCAGACTCTTTTTCACAGCACGTGACCTCCGATGACGTACGACACACCGGTGCGCTACTGACATTTACCTTTCTGACCCATACCTGACTCTGGTTGCGTCACCGACACGTTGTTGTAACGTCTCCCGTCATCGTAACCTGCCTGTCGGGTGTCTGGTGTACTGGTTTTCGCAGTGGTTTTCCCGATCAAGATCTTGGTGTTAGCGTTCTTTGCGTTGATCAGGTCCATATCTGCGTCCACATACTGGTTTCCTTTTGGCCGCTCTGTGGATTGAAAAAACCCCCACAAAGAAGTCGTCGAAAGGAACAAGAATCGCCACCGAGCTGTGTGAGTGTATCGTTCAGTGTAGAACGTTGACAGACAAAGTGAAATCATCTGTAAATTATGAAACTGCATGGGTTCAAGGCCGCTGTCAACACTAAAAAGCAATAATTTAAGAGGCAGGACCTCCTAATTTAGCGTCCGTCTTCAACAGCACTGAGTCAAAATGTTTGAGAATCTTGAAAGCTCAACTAAACTACCCAAATTCAAAGAATGCCCAGTCTGGGATTTGAGCTACGCCATCTGTTCCGAGGTCAAACATGCATAGAATGTAATTGAAAAGAGCAATGAAAAACGTATACCCTGGCTCTCTAACATTTTTACCTTTTCGAGAAAGGAGTCAAAATTTCAATATTTTTCTTTCTTGGAGATTCTTTTTTAAATATCACACCTTGAATTTAGAGACGAGATTTCAAACCGCTTTGTTATCTTTTAAATCTATTTTTAAAAGATGTGATTAATTAACTTTTATCTCTGTTGTTTTGCTTGTTTGTTTGTTTCTCTTTTATACAGTAAAAATATAATTGACTTCAGGAGCACATTTTGCCACCGTCAAAAACACGTTATTCAATGCTTGACCGTTACCTTTCTTTTTTGATGTTGCAACCGGTGATGTCACCAGTACGTTGTTGTAACGTCTCCCGTCACCGTCTGTCCGTGTGGCGTCAGGTGTAATGATTTCCACCGTGGTTCTTCCAATCAGGACCGGGGTGTGGATGTCCTGTGACGATATGTGGTCCGAATCCACGTCCACGTACGGACTTTCTTCTTGACGGCCTGTGGATGGAGACACGAGGAAAACAAAAAGTAAAATGATATATTACTTTTATGTTTACTCCCTTCTTAAGACTGTGGGGTTATTTAAGAAGCTGGACCTCCGAATTTATCTATCTCAGATACGTCCAAGCGAGTTTTGTGGAGAGCCTTAACAGGGTCATCTGCTATGTAACCCAACAAACATGGTACCAACTGAGCGAACTGAGCGCCAAAGCATGTGTTATAAAGGCAAAAACAAGTACTGATTGTGTTCATTATTATTCTCTGTCTCCTATCTATATGTATGTTTATCAACGTGATTTTTTTTCCTTTTCTTTAATGTTCACATTTACCCACTTTTATATTTCATTTTCCTTGATGACAATGCACATACTACAATAACTCTCCTGTTTTATTAGCATAAAACTCGAAAACCATGATTCGAGCCTTATGTGATCGATTTACCCTGTTGTTTTTACAGTATACAGTTTGTGAATATTTCTTTGAACCCAGTGACCAACTAAAACAGGTTAAAAAGTTTACTCATCTTGGCAGCAGTTCCACTGTAAACGGGCCCATAGACTGAGAAAAAGAAATGCGAACTCAAAACGCTTACGCTGTCACCTACCAGCTCACGCTCCATCTGAGTCATCCAAACATCTTTATAGACACAAAGGGGACAGCTCATATCCTCATTATTCATGCCAACATTGTACTACCAGTGCCAGACCTGGACATTAAGTAAAACCCAAGAAAACAAAAATCACTGCACTCGTAATTAAATGTCTCCGCAAAACCTTTAACATACAAGACGAAACAGGCAGAGAAATGAAGAAATAAGAGTAGCTATTGACACAGTCCTGCTTGCATTTCATAGAGAAACAGAGAATAAATATGGCTTGGCTACCTGTTAGTAATGTAAACTTAGCCAGCCAGCCCCAAGAGCCTATAACACCAAGCAATCAGGCTATAAAGGATGAGGAAGGCCACGCAAAAGGTGGATTGAGTGAGTCAAGGAAACCCTGAGAAATTACGATATCCCAATTGAAAGAGCTGAGGAGTTGGTGTACCATAGAAAACTGCAACTGCCCTTGGCGCTTAACGGCAACAGAGGATGAAAAAGTAAATGTAGAATAAAAATTGTACCCCATGGACATTTTACTTTAGTTTTCTAAATACGACTCGATGCTCAGAGCTGTTTTAACCTTTTTTATCATCTAACTAGAGCAAACTTTAAGAAAGTATTCAATCTTTTGTTTTATGAATCAATGTTGATAAAGTGTAAGAGTACCTGGTGATGAGAACAAGTTTTTTACCTTATTTTTCAAACTATAAAACGATTACTGTTCTGGTAAGAAAAGGTATAAAGATAGTGAGAGTGAGAGAGAGGGAGGGAGAAAGAGAGAGAGAGAGAGAGAGAGAGAGAGAGAGAGATGGGGGTGGAGTGCAAGAAAGGAAGAGAGGGAGGGAGAGGGGGTTTGAGGGATAACGAGAGGGAGAGAAAGAGAGAGATAGAGAGAAAGAGAGGGATTATAAAGAAAGAGACATAGAGACAAAAAGGCATATTACAATATATTATAGTTATGATAATAGAGCTAAGCTCGTTTGTGAGGTTAGTAAAAACGTTTTACTCAGGTGCCCATAAAATGTAAAAAAAATATAATTCAGACGTTAAGTTCGGAAACTGCCTTTTGATTTTTCAGGCTAGATGATTTTTCTTGTAATTCGAAGCTCTCAGATGTTTTCACTCCGCCATTAGCCGTTTCATATTTTACTAGGGACTACTTCCGTTTCATATTGTGCTTCTTCGTGCGAGTGAGTAGTTCGCAAGAACGAAAGTGAGATTTGTGTTTTGTCGTATGTGTGTGCGACAGATTTGTACTTTTTGCAGTTGTTAGCAGGAACAGATGGGCCATTTGTGTTTTGTCGTGTATGCCACATAGTTCTATTTCAGCTGCTATTGGCCCACGGAATGTTAAGGGTTTGTTTTTTTACTGAGGACTAATTCCGTTTCATAATCGAGTAAATGGATCAAGTTGCACATCTTATCAAGACGCATGCAACCAACTTGGACTGTTCGATGGTGAAACTGAGAAGGATGCAACAATACAAGAAGCATCTTCCATAAGATTTGGACCCTAATTACGTCTTGCCTTTACCGCAATTCTCATCTATTGTCGCCCAGCTGATCCTCTCTCATTTTGACACAAGCACAAATTGGAATTGTGCCGGGACAGGTCACAGAGTTGAATCCACAGATTGAGAACCAAGTGTTGCTACAACTTCAGCATATTCTTGATAATAATGGGTTGAATCCAGGGGCGAAGCGTCTATATAATCAAATAATCACTGCTTCCCTTCCTAATTTTGAAACATTGTCGCTGTCAAATTCACCTATAAACGTAAACCTCATAAATTAAATGTAAAAAGACGTTAATAATCAACAATGAACAGTATGCCTAACATACACAAAGGTTTCACTTCCACAGAAATAGCCTGCTCACCCCTCTCGGGCCACTCAATAAGCAGTCACAAGCTTTGATTAAGTAAGCTTAAAGTGAAGCTGGAGTAGTCTACCAATAGAGTTGAAGGGAACAGGTCCATAGCAGTCAAAACTGTTTCATTGCCATAAATACCCTGTTCACCCCTTTGGGGCCACAGTTATAAGCAGTCGCAAACTCTGATTATGTAAGCTAACTATTACACTGGTCGAGTCTACCTCACAAATGTGAGGGGAACTAACTCCTAACAATCTCTTGACTGCTGCAAGTGCTTGCTTTTTTTCCTCGACTTTTTACCGTCCTGTAATCAGATCATGACCCCGATTATGACACCGCCTCCTGGCCGCGAAATGCTAGACAAAAACAGCCAAATGTGAAATTTAAAAAAATGATAATTGTCATGTTCTATCAAAAAGTTAGACTCATTGGTAGATCTATAACATATAGATCTAGTACTGACATATCTGCTTCTTTGCTTTGTGTTTGTGTATTCACATCTAAAGTTTAATTTGATTTTAGTTGGAATCAATATTTAATAAGATACTTTCCCGATTATTTTGGTGGTTGAACATACAATATGAATACCGGATTTGTTTTCATTCGCAATTCACACCTCAGAGTCGCCGTCTCCAGTAAGATCCTTGTGGGATAATAATATCTCCAGGCCATATCTGGTCCCGTTTCATTTTGATTACCCTGTCAAACAAGTCAGCCTTCGCCCCTGGTTGAATCTGTATAAAGACTTTCAGCTGCCACCAGCAGAAAACAATCAAGTTGAGGGAGAACAACCAAGAATTGTCCACGAGGAGTTAAATTTTGACACAAAAATCCTGCAAGAGAAGGTGAGTCTAGAGTACCCAAAGCTTAATAAAGAACAAAGAGTAGTGTATGGTGCTGTGATAGAGTCAGTTGTACAGAAACAAGGCAAGATATTTGCCCTGGAGGCAAGTGGAGGGACTGGGAAAACCCACACTATAAACCTGATTACCTGATTCTTGTGACTGTCCGTTCCTTTAAGAAGATCACCCTTGCTCCAGCTCTGTCAGGCATTGCAGCAAATCTGCTCTCAAATGGCAGAACATTAACACAGCAGATGCAAAATACCTCTGTTTGTGAATGTGAACGAACAGTCCATGTGCAGTGTGAGTCCTCAAGATGCCAGTGACACTTTATTACGCCAAACAGAGCTGCTCATCATTGATGAGATATCGATGGGCCACAAACAAATCTTTAGAGCCATAGACCGAACACTTCAAGACATAATAATGTGGGAATAACTCTGTTCGGTGGGCTAAATGTGCTGATATCGGGTGACTGGCACCTAATACTACCAGTAGTTCGCTAAGGCTTAAGATCACAGATAGTCAATGAAACCCTTAAATTATCATATCTGTGTCAATGTGCTCAGACTGACAAGAAACATGAGGGTTTTGCTTACAGGTGAGACTACTGATTTCTCCAACTATCTACTGAACATTGGTGATGGTAAACACAACATATGCAAGCCTAGGCCTTCTCAGCAAATCGGGGAGTTTGCGATAAAGCTGCCAGATGACATCACAGTGACAGCGACCGAGAGTTGATAAATGTTGTCTTCGGTAACTTGCTGTCTTACATAAATCCTGACTGGCTGGCTTCCCGCTGCATCATCTGTCGCACAAACACAGAAGTAGACAGAATCAACAACCTGATCATGCAGTCCTTTCCCGAAGAAGAAAAAGTCTACAGGAGCAGTGATTCGGTGGAAGAAAATGAACACCAATACCCCATCGAATTTATCAATTCTCTATGTCCGTCAGGTATGCCACCCCCACAAACTGACAATGTCAAGATACTGAGAAATTTGGATCCCACAAACAGCCACTGCAATGGGACTCGATATGTGGTTCAACGCCTTCTTCAACATGTTATTGATGTAGTCGTTGCTTGCGGTCCACAGGCCGGAAAGAGACTTTTCATCTCAAGGATTCCCCTCATGTCTTCAGACAACATATTTCCCTTCCATATGCGACGGAAACAATTTCTGGTTAGACCTGCTTTTGCAATAACTGCCAACAAAGCTCAGGGACAGACTTTGAAAAGGATAGGGGTTTCTTTACAGGGCGATTTTTTCACATTAACAATTATATGTCGCAATGAGTCGTGTTGGGTCCAGGGATTCTATTAGGATACATGTGAACAGACCTGCTTCCCAGGACGGAGTTCCAGATGGTGCATATACCAGCAATGTTGTCTACACAGAGGTCCTACGGCAACGAATCAGGTACCGGTACACACATTTTATCTTGGGCATCCCTATCACTATATCACCGTTCGTAGAACGGGTCTGTCTGTCTGTCTGTCTCTCTCTCTTTCTCTTTCTCTTTCTCTCTCTCTCTTTCTCTCTCTCTCTCTCTCTCTCTCTCTCACTCTCTCTCTTTCTCTCTCTCTCTCTCTCTCTCTCTCTCTCTCTCTCTCTATATATATATATATATATATATATATATATATATATATATATATATATATATATATAAATATATATATATATATAAAATATATATATAAATATATATACATATATATATATATATATATATACAGAGAGGAAGAGAAAGAGAGAGAGGGGGAGAGAGTGAGAGAGAGTGAGAGAGAGAGAGAGAGAGAAAGAGAGAGAGAGAGAGAGAGAAAGAGAAAGAGGGAGGGAGGGAGAGGGAGAGAGAATGTGTAAAGGAGATTGCAAAATACATTGTGCATTTTAAAAAGTCTATCAAGCCTTTACATACTTTTCTAAACACTGTCCCCAACCTTCTCTCACACCAACCTTCAAACTTCTGGAAGAAAATCACATGCCTTTGCTCCGTAAAATTGAAAGAAACCAAAGGAATAAAAAGGATACCCCCTCCCATCCATGCCCCCCCCCCCCCCCCGACAAGTACACCTTTTCGCCATTCTGAGAAACGAATGAAAAGTTCAAATTGTAAATTGGTTTCCTTTTCTTCCGTGTAAGATATTTTTTGTTGTCCTCTCCAGGAACTAAGTGCCTAGAGCTATAGTCCGGGCAGCTCCAAATGGACAACTTGTCGACCTCATTACACCAAATCGAAGTTGCAAAACTCCGATTTTTATTTTATTTAATTTTATTTAATTTTTTTTTTTTTTGCATTCTCCTCTGAATTCTAATAGACCCAAAACGTCTCGATTTTCGTGCATATGCGACAATTTAAGGAGGTGCTGCTACTGCTTTTGGTGCGAACGTCGTAATATTACTAAGATTTAACACGGCTCAGCAACTGCTTTTTGTGCGTACGACCACTTACTCTTCTGTCCAGCTGTTGACACCGGAGACGTCACCAGTACGTTGTTGTAACGTCTCCCGTCACCGTCTGTCTGTGTGGCGTCAGGTGTGATGATTTCCGCCATGGTTCTTCCAATCAGGACCGGGGTGTGGATGTCCTGTGACGATATGTGGTCTGAATCCACATCCACGTACGGACTTTCTTCTTGATGGCCTGTAGATGGAGACACGAGGAAAACAAAAAGTAAAATGATATATTACTTTTAAGTTTACTCCCTTTTTAAGACTGTGTGGTTATTTAAGAAGCTGGACCTCCGAATGTATATCTATCTCCGATAGGACCAAGCGAGTTTTGTGGAGAGCCTTAACAGGGTCATCTGCTATGTAATCCAACAAACACAGTACCCACTGAGCTAATGGAGCGTCCAAGTATATGTTATAGAGGAAAAAACCAGTAATTTCTATTTCTTTTTTATTCCTTTTTATTCCCTTTTCCCATTTATTTTTATATACATTTACCAAAATGGTTATTTTCTTTAATTTAATTTACACAAAATTGAAATACCCTTGTTTATATTTTAGTTTCCTTCATAATAAGGTACTTATTAAGATACCTCTCAAGTTTTGTTTTGTTTTTTAGCTTAAAACTTGAAAACTGCGCTTCAAGTACCATTTGAGGGATGTGTCTTGACGTTTTTACTAGTGGTTTGTTTTTCATTCATTTTGAATTGCACCGAATGACTACAATCATCTCTGTCCTTTGGTTTTCTTTGTATGGCATGCTGTAAAGTACCGTCGTTTCAGCCTTTTGTAACTTCTAACTTTTGCAATTTTTATGAAAATGTCAGTCTTATGGTTACACATTAGGACTTACGAAATTAAGATTATAGTATAGCTCCGTGATTACTGGTGGGGAGACGAGTTTTTAGACCCGATTTATTATCACTGTAAAATTGCAACTGGTTTGGTAAGAAAAGGTACACAAAAGAGAGAGGAAAGAGAGAAAGAGAGAGAGAGAGAGAGAGAGAGACAGACAGAGAGAGACAGAGAGAAAGAGAGAGAGAGAGAGAGAGAGAGAGACAG